CTACAGCCGCCCCCGTCTGTACTACAGGCTGCTTCCGTCTGTACTACAGGCTGCCCCGTCTGTACTACAGGCTGCCCCCGTCTGTACTACAGGCTGCCCCGTCTGTACTACAGGCTGCCCTCGTCTGTATTACAGGCTGCCCCCGTCTGTACTACAGGCTGCCCCCGTCTGTACTACAGGCTGCCTCGTCTGTATTGCAGGCAGCCCCGTATGTTTGGTAAGTAGGCTAGAGTCGTCGACTATCACCTATATACCTAATCTAGAGCATAATCTGTAATGTACGTAATCAAGTAATTTTCATTGTTCATTCAACATTCATTCCTTATCAACCTCTTCGAGTGACGATGTTATCCTCAACCACCAATATCAACCAACAACGATTTACTTGGTCGACAAATTCCTTACTCCAAGATTCTACCTCTGCGATATCAACATAGCTAAATGTCAACGAACAAAATTGCTCTCATTGACGTGATAATTTGGAACCGCAGTGAAGAAACGGTAAATGTATAAACCAGACAAGGAAATCCCGCTCAGTTTTACAGTGTCACGGTAAGTACCTGTGTATCAACACAAGCATTGCACTAACTCTCCGCTCGGTCGCGACAGCAAGTCAACTCTGGCGGCTTTATATCGCAGCTTGGCGCGTGCTCGCGCTCACGTCAACCAGTCTATCTTTAGCAGCCGTACTCCCCGCGGCATCACGCGGCTGAATGCAACCGTACGAACGCAGTAGAAAAACAACAACATTAGAAGCTAAAAGGATCGCGATCGCTCGCGGCTAACATTTTTCATTTAAACATCGCGGATCTTAACGTCGAAATAGTAAAGCGGACTGTCAGAAATCCTACTCACACATCGTGTGATTGGCATCAGTCAACGTAGGCCCTATTATAATTGCATCGATGCAGTTTTACATCAAATTCAACGTATTTTAGACAGAGTGAGTGGGTGGAATGATGTATTGGTCGGATTTAACATATTACAGTAGTTGAATTCCTAATTAATTAATTAAAACTTGATTTGCTAACCACGTGTGTCCTCGGCATTAGGCGGGCTAATAAAATTCATGTTTTTATATCGTCATTTGGGGAAACACGACGTACCAATACTGCAGAGGCATCAGTGGTTAAGATGAGGCGTGTCAACGGGATAATAATTCCGTTCGCAGTCGCTGTTCTTCCGATTTTACTTTTTGTTTCACGCTCGCTGAACTGGGTAAACGTCATTTTTAGTTTAACAATCACAAGTAGCAGAGGTGACACTGTACATATAGGGAGAAGTTTTTCTATCTATTGAGGATTGACTGCAGCCATAGTGACGCTCTTATATAGCTAGTTCAGCTGTTATAACCCGATTCCTATCGTTTCTGGTTGCAGACTGCTAACCATACATGGGTTCGTTGCAAAGTTTTTTTTAGATAATTAAAATCTTCGTGGCCAGTAATTTATTTTCGCCGGTCAATAGCCGGCATTCCGTGAATCTTTAACCTAATATAGCAGATGCCTCGAGGGAAATGAATGCCATGCGTTTTACAATGTAAACACGTTATGACTTTATTGCGCGCATTGTAATGTTTGCTTGTCAATGATGCTTAGTTTGAACGATTTTCGCTTGCATTTAGTGCTGTCACACGGCCCGCTAAAGGCTGCCGCACCGGCGCCTCCCTGCGCAAATGAAAGTTCGGCCAAACCGATGGAATTGTGAGCCTCGTCAAACAATATGGTCGCAGGGACGGGAGTGGCGCTCCGGTCGCCGTGCAAAGAAAATTGAAGCGAGGTTGCCGCGGCTACATTATGTGGCAGTTGGCGCAGACAGCGATAAAATAGACGCATATACTTACCCGAGGCAGCTAGCGGTCATGTGTACACATACAATCGGAAGCTTTTAGGAATTCTAAACGCAATATGGATCACCATATCATCATAATATCGGTTAGCTCGTGAATCCGGTCGGGTGCATATTCGCAGCGTACTATACTACGATTGACTTCGACAACGTTCGCGTCCCGTAATTCAGCACTGCTATATAGCGCAGTAAGCTTAGCGTAAGTTTTGTGCCCCGAGAACATTTCACCATGTTCGGAGCGCGTCGGGCCAACGCGCTGAGGTAATGCGGTAGAGGCGTGACGTGGTAATATGGTGGCATCGCAGCAGGTACCCTTGCTGACACCGCAGGGCGCGCAATGCAAATACACCTCAATGCTAATGTTGATCATAATGGAAAAGGCTGAGGAAATACTATGCGTTATGCGATGGTTTACATTCGTCTCGGCTTTACGCTGTAGAGTTTGCCGTGTATCGAACCTGACACCCGGCGGGCGTTTCTATGCGCGTTTACCATGTGAAGTGACACATACGGCAAACTCTTTGGGAAAGAGGAATGGGCGGTCCTTTCCTCATTACCAGGTAAAAAATTCGCCATTTCCCATTTCCCGGTTAATTTAAATCGCAATTTCGGCCTTCTCCCTCCCCGTTTGACTCCTATTTACGAATAACGAAAAATTCATTTAGTATTGCCTGGTTCCTTGATAATTAAAATCGTGCGGTCCCGCGTGCCGGGAGATTGTTGTCCGTTCATCTCGCCTCCTCTTCTACCACGCTTGACCGACATTGATAGCTGCAGTGTCCGCCCGACGAACCTGCACATATATAACACGTGTCGGAAATAGCCGGGGTAAGCGCCACTGATATAATCGCGACCTGACAACGCCGGCCAGCAACGTTTACACCATATATGCATTAAGGGTATTAGCGCTGCTCCGACAGAGCGGCCAATCATAGTTGCCGCGACATGGCACGCGATTGGAGCACGTATACTCGTGCGCGCGGCGATCGGCGTAAATACGTGCGTGACACTAACAGAAATAAGCCCCCATCAAGCGCCCTTTCTCGGCGCGACCCGGCATCGCGAGTGTATAAAGGACCTCTACTTGAGCACTTTATTACCTCTTCGGGATTCGCATACGATAATCTTGTAAAGGCCGGCGAGCAATTTGCGCCATGTTAGCTGGAATTGGCGGTGAAATTCTTCGAAGGGTTATTATAGGCTCGTGCGCGAATAGGCTCCTACTTGCGATGCAAATGCGCATTAAACGCCGACTTAGAACTCGGCGCTGATTAAAGGCGCAGCGGCGAGGCGGCGTTCGTTAGCGACGATGATCGCAAGAGTGCGTCACGTGAACAAAGGCACACCGAGCGAGAGCGACACGCACCCTTTCTCCCATCGATGGCCAGAGGCGACGTAAACAATGCACCTGCACGCCCACACCCCGACGGATACATATACCAGCACGCCCACACCCCGACGGATACATATACATGCACGCCCACACCCCGACGGATACATATACCAGCACGCCCACACCCCGACGGATACATATACCAGCACGCCCACACCCCGACGGATACATATACCAGCACGCCCACACCCCGACGGATACATATACCACCAGCACGCCCACACCCCGACGGATACATATACTAGCACGCCCACACCCCGACGGATACATATACCATCACGCCCACACCCCGGCGGATAAACATACCTGCACTCAAACACCACGGCATACACATATACTTGCACGACCTCACGTCGACAGTCGCATATGCGTACAAACCCTACGCACACGCACGCCCACGCACGGACGCACACGCACGCACAGGCACAAGCGTACGTGCGCGCGCCCACACACATACACACACACACCGTCAAGACGCCCGGGAAACTGAAAATGTCAACATAATCCTGTTCTTTCATGTTGACGATGGGAATATTATTTCAACTCGGTAGACGTCGGAATTAATCAAACAATCAAACAATTTCCTTCTGGAACCCATCTATAGAACAGGCAGCAAACACACACACACACACACACACACACACACACACACACACACACACACACACACACACACACACACAACGCACACGCACACATGCACACATGCACAGTATACACACATGTGTGCGTGTGAGCGTGCGTGCGTGCGTACGTGCATGTGTGCGTAAGTGCGTACGCGTATGTATGTATAACGGCGGGATTCAAATACAAAGTGTTCGGCTGTTAGTTCGTATTGGTTTCCTCTTTCTTTTGTTGCACGATACAATTTTCGACTCGTCCCTACGTATAGTCAGCATGCGATCCTGCAGTTAACCCCGAAGCTACACTGTGTCAGTTAGGCTCCCGTAGCTACACTAAACGCGTGTTTTCGACGCTGAACGCATGGCTTAGCTCGACGTGTTTATCTCACGCATACATGCGCCTGTAATAGTAAGCGTGTTTAGGAGTAAGTTATTCTCCATGTTCCTTCTAATTAACATGCTGCGACACTTTGGCTTCAGTAGTACTTCTCGTCAAGCGTGTCCCATAAAATATAAAAGCACACTAGAAGGGGAAATAATAAAACGACTAAGAACTGGCGACTAAGAAATAGAATCAAGAGTTATTACAACAATAATGTTATAAACTGCGACACCGAAGATAGCCGACAATAGAAGCAATGTCGACTCCCCCGAATACACCTCCCCCGCTCTTGCTTGTCCTCTTCCTCCTCTTCTTCCTCCTCCTCCTCCTCCTCTTTCTCTTCCTCTTCCTCCTCCTTCTCCTCCTCCTCCTCCTCCTCCGCCTCCTCATCTTGTTTTTCGTCTTCTTTTTCCTCTTTCTCCCACCCCTTCATTCTTATCATCCTGTTTCTTCCCTCATCCTTCTACTTCTCCGTCTTTCCCCGTGTTCCCTTCCTCCTCCTTGTCCTCTTTCTCCTCATCTTCCCCCTCCTCCTCTTCCTCCTCCTCATCCCCTCCTCCTTTCCCTCGTCTTCCTTCTCCACCACCGCCTCCTCCATCACCTCTTCCTTTACCGCATCCTTATCCACATCCACCTCCTTCTCAATCGACTACTATTACTACCACTACCACTACCACCACTACCACTACTACTACTACTACTACTACTACTACTACTACTCCTACTACTACTACTACTACTACTACTATTATATTATTATTATTATTACTACTACTACTACTACTACTACTACTACTACTACTACTACCACTACTACTACTACTACTACTACTACTACTAATATCACTAC